TGTGCAGTGTTGATTTTTAAACAGTGATGACTCCTGTAATTTAGGCCAGAAGGTATACGGAACAAGGTACCAAGGGAGATTTGTACCTCTTGGAACCATCTCCACACTTTGTTATAAAGAACATAGCCCTGCAGAAGTAGGGTAGGGTGAAACTGTGTTCCTTGATGCATTATGACTGCTTTTGATTTCTCAGACTCACTTCTTGCAAAATTTCAAGGGCCCATTCTCCCCCTCTCTCCCCCCCAGCCCCGATCAACTTAAAATGTCATAGTATTGCATACTTGAAATTTCACATTGAAATACTAGGGGAAACATCTGTGGCATCATTTACTTATGTAAAAAGAAGCCAAGAAGGATAAAGTAACACACACACACTTGTATTATACAGAATTCACCAGGTCAGACAGGCATAGAAGCAGCCAGGGAGAAAAACATTCTGTTTCCACTACCAAATGTTACCCAGATCTCTGCCAGGTCTTGAGATGCTCAAGTTACCCACCCTGTTGTTGGGGTAAAGCAAAGGGTCAAGCATAGAGCACTGGCAGCTTCAAGGGGGACAGCTACCATATCCCTCCACAGAATGGGAGCATGCTGCGGCCTAGGTGAGAGCGGTCTCTTGTCACCATAGGACTGCTGTCACTCAACATGAACAAGCAATGGAAGAATGCTAGACTGCATGGACCCAATCCCTAAAACTTAACAGTATTTAACTGAATGATTATTAGCTGGTTACTCTTCTTTAAAGAATGGTGGTTTGAGGGAAGAAAAGCCAGGATGAGCTACAGGCATCAGCGGTCTGTAACATAATCTCTTGCTTGTTAAAGGACAAGCACTTTCTTTACACAGTTTTAGGCAAGAGCAATTACTGAAATGGGCAAATACATTTGGTCACAGGCCAGCAAGTTTAACTAAGTCAAAACTCCTGTGAATCAAATATTCTGCAGATACCTTAATCCTCACTTGTTTTATATGTTAGTTTAGAATTAGGATGGAAGGGGAATCAGGCTAACTGGGGCTATGCAAATCTTGCTGCTTTTTGCGTGTGAGCTGAAATGGACTGAGTGTATTTTATACAGATTTGCAGCCCTTTATTTTTGCTTGGAGTTCCAAGTTCATCTGCAGGATATAGGGTTTTTTTAAGTTTCACTATAATTGCCCTCCAGACAAGCCCTTGGAACCTTGCTGATCACCCTCTCTCTAGTATAGGTGTCTTCTGGGATAGAACTACAGTCTGCAACACCTTTCATTCCTCTACATATGTATGAGGGGAAGGGACATGTATAGTCTGACTTCTTTGGGGTGTCCCATAGATGCAATCTAGGGGGATTTCAGAGACCAGACTGAGGTTACATTTTATGTAGGAGCCTTTTCTTCCTCATTGCTGCTGCTGTCGGGCTACCTGTCATCTGCAAGATGCCACAGGCATTAAAGAGGAATAGGCTAATTTGCCATGCACTTCCTTGAAGACGAGTTGGAAAAGGGCTCTCCTAAAGCCACTAGGATGGTAGGGAGGGTTGGCAGTAACTCCCTGGCAAAAGAGTTAAAGTTAAGTCTGAGGACTGTGACCTGGTGTGGGAGGATAAGAAGAAGGCAATGAGATTTCAGGTCTAGGTAGATTTTGCAAACCTTTGAAGACTAACTGCTAGCCCAGGTTCACAAACCAATTTCTAATATAAACCCAACCTATGGAGGTTTCACACCTCTCTAGTCCCAATCTAGAAAAGCTGCAGCAGCGTTAAACATTCCCTCTGTTCTCACTGTCTATTTATATCCTTATCTTATCTTTCATGAGAAAGGAGGAAAGGGATGTGCTTCATAATATTGCAGTGATGATGCATGCTGATGAGAATAAGACAATATTTGTTGCAAGCATAGGTAGTCTAGAGTCCACACCTCTGATCTAAACATTTTTTCAGTACAAAGCTACTTGCTGGTATTTTGGTGGTACACAATGATTGTTGGATTTGAGTACTTCAACACCAACCATCTATAAATCTGTATTCTTTTAAAAGTCTTTTTGCTTACCCTAAGAAATGAAAACAAATACAATAAAATTCAACATCTAAGGTTTGTTATTTTTTCTACTAACATAGTATACATTATAACAGAGATATGAAACATATTCCAAGGCTGATCAGACTAATGTCTTGTAGACATGGATATTCAAGTATGAAAATATTTGACGGGTCTAACCCAGTTCATGCCATATCAAGGATAAAAACATTAAATAAATCCTATTATGTCAACTATAGTAATAATGAGCAACGACAGGTGTAATAAAGTTTAAGGCTAACCTTTTCAAACCAAGCTGCTGAAAGTTAAACTAAATTCATGCTTGGGCTCGTAAATAAAAGTGGTCTTCTCTTCAGAGGTGCAGAACACCTGCAGCTTGTACTGACTTCAGGGAGAACTTCAAAGGCTCAGAACTTGAGCTAGTTGGGAAAATGGGGAGTGTTTTCCCCCAGTGGAAAATTTTGATTAAATGAGATTTGTTTTTCTTACAAAATTTCCATGGAAAAACTAGTATTTCTGATGAAAACTGAAATATTTTGATTTGGAAATACCAATGCTGTGCCTCATGCTCCCATTCTCAATAAGTCAAGCTCCCTGGTTGGACTACATCTCCCATGATACACCACATTGTTCTAGGTGAGAAGAGGCAGTCCATCATGGGGGTAGAACAGCGGTTCTCAAACTTTAGCAACGCGAGGACCACCATTTTGATTTTAAAATTTCCAGGGACCCCCAAGCCCCCACCCCCGCTCAGCGCTTGCCCCACCCATTCTGCAAGCCCCCCCCCCGCCCGTTGCTCACTTTCCCCCACCCTCACTCACTCTCACCAGGCTGGGGCAGGAGGTTGGGGTACAGGAGGGGGTGCAGGCTCTGGGAGGGAGTTTGGGTGTGGGAAGGGGTGCAGGCTCTGGCTGGGTGGGGCTAACCTTGGGTGGTTCTCGAAAGTGACTGGCGCATCCCTCTGGCAGCGGCTCCTAGGCGGGGGGGCCAGGCGGCTCCATGCACTGCCCCTGTCTGCAGGCTTTGCCGCCCCCCAGCTCACATTGGCCACAGTTCCCAGCCAATGGGAGCTGAGAAGTTGGCTCTCAGGGCAGGGGCAGTGCACAAAGACACCCAGACCCTCCACCCTAGGGGCCGCAGGGACATGCCAGCCATTTCCAGGAGCGGCGCAGAGCCAGGGCATGTAGGGAGCCTGCCTTAGTCCCGCTGCGCCGCCCCCTCTCCTGAGCACACTCCATCCCTGCTCCTTCCCCTCCCTCCCAGTGCCTCCTGCAGACCGGGGAACAGCTGGAGAGGAGGAGGAGGTGATCAGCGGTAGGCCCGCAGACTCCCTGGAGTGCCCTTGGGCACCCCCAGGGATCCGTGGACCCCAGTTTGAGAAACGCTGGTGTAGAACGTCATGGGAGATTAAGCCTGGCTGGGGAGCTTGACCCATAGAGGCAAATAGGAGCAGGAGGTGCTTGAACTACAACTCCCATGATGTACCACAGCAGCATTTCACATTCAAAATATTTTGGTTTTCTGCTAAAAACTTCTCACTTTTCGAACATTCAGGTTTTTCAATGAAAAAAAAATCACGGTTTTCTTGCGGAAAGCAGATACTTTTCATGAAAATTAATTTAGTCAATAATCCAATTTGCCATCCAAAAAACAGTTTTTATGGAAAATTTGACCCTTCCTACTCAGACTCTGAAATCAGGTCACTTTATTCTCATCTTTATTGAAGTCAGTACAACACCACTGATTTATGCTGCCTGCAAATCTGGCCCCTAGGTTTGAAAATTATGGCCTTTACCTCTAGCTGCTCAGTAACCACCCCCACTGATATAAAATATACTCAGAATAATATGCATTAGGCCTTGTGTTGTCCTGAAGTAGGGATCTCAACGCACAATCCCTCTTTTTGTTTCACTCCTCTTTGATGCAGAAGTTTAGTGATTATTCCAAATTTATGAAACTAAACAGTACATGAGCCATAAACCCATCCTAGATTTTGCCTGTGTTTTGGTACATTGGTATATATAGCAAAATAATGGTGGACAATGTACTAACTCAAGATGCTTTAGTTAACATAAAAGAATGTCTAAAACTACTTGAATAGTATTACTAAATGGTTAACAGCATTCTCATAATTCTTGTTGTGACACTATAGCAATAAGTGCTCTGTTGTAACACTGATTTTTCAAACTGACTTTAAAATATTAGAACATATATTGTAAGAATTGTAGAGAAAAGAGCAATATCAATTATTGCTAATCCTTTCTAAAATACATTTTAAATTTAACCATTTAAATTCAAAGTAGCAACAAGACCAAATTCCTGGGGTGACTGATAAGTCTTAAACTCTCTTAAACTCTCCAGTAGCTATCCACACTCACTCCCTTAAGCCATTATGATGGCTTAAGTGGTACATAGGTGATGTGTTGTTTTGCAGGCAGGAAATGGTCTCTATGTAAAGTGTAAAATGGGTCAGCACACAGGACTGTTCTGTGATCTCTTCTAGAAAACCACAATCTTTGAACAGGAAAATCCTAGTGAGTACTATACTGAGGACGCTGTGGGTGAGGCTACAACTGTCTCCCCACCTCAAAACAAGAAGCATTGAGAAAAACAGATAAGAATCCTGCAACTGAATGTTTTCTTCAAAACTCTTGGAACTCATTTTTAATATAAAGCATTTTCTTAAATGCTTTTTTGTCCCCAACTCTTGTGGGCCTTGGAAATTCTCTCTGAATTCAATGTGATTTCTTCCATAATCAATATATAATTCTAATGTAGTAGAATTATACAACAGTTTCATTTAATGTCTTATTTTTTTATAAAAGAGTATCCAAATGAATTTTTTGCAAAATGGGGTATTCAAACATCATAATAATCCAATAATGCAAATACAAAGTGATGTTGGAAACACATGAGGTGTTCCTATACCAAAAATATTTAAACCCTTTTAACAGATCCTTTTATTCCTCCTGTTAGGGCTTGAAATATTACCAGACACCTACTAAGTAGAAGCTGATATGAAAGATAGGGGCAGGGTTACCAATGAGGTAGGGGCAATGGTTCAAGCGTCTTGGCTGCTGATCAAAACTTTACAAATCAACAGCAGTGGGAAACTGACATTCTTGTCAGTTTCACTCCTTCCAAGGTTCTAAATTTCAAGAGTCATATTGCTGGATGCTGTGTCATTTTCACTCTCCTGCTTGGGAAATGTATGAGCAGTGGAGAAGACTTAAAATGTTTGTAGACTCAGGAAGACAACTCTGTATTAGTAATATCCTGTTCACATTTGGAAGGTCATCTTTGCTTGGAATACATATATAATAAAAGCTTGCATTCTGCATAAACTGATGGTATGTGCCCTTTCACTGACAAGGAAAGCTTCCCTCTCACTAGTGGTAATTAGACAAGTAAATTTTTCAAGCTAACAATTTTCTTTGACCTAGAAGTGATTCTGATAGGTTCCATTCCCTCTCTTTGGCCATTCTTCCTCCACCCACTTCAGCAGCACTTTCACAACATCAATTCTTTGATATAATTTACACAGATCAATTAATTGTTCCACAGTCCGGTCACTGTTCCGCAACAAAAATTCCAACGTAGGGCTTTGTTGTTTCTGTTCCAGGAAACACAATTCATCATAGGTCATTCCCCATTTGCTTGCAAAATTTCTCCAGTTTTTTACTGTAGGGTGGCATGGATCCAGCTTTATCCTCATTGTGTACAACAAGTCCTCGTCATTGAGCAAGTCGCTGATGGTTGGAGCACGACACAAACATAAGGAGCAGGTGCCATTTTCTTTGCAGGAGCTCCTCATATCTACAATTATAAACATTACATTGAACGGTTAGAATCTGTTCTATTTTCCTTGGCTTCTTTTTATGGCACAAACCCTCAGGCACTGCTGAAGAATATCATGTTATTAGAACTATTTCTGAAATAATAATGGGGATTTAAAGTGTCTTTCCCTATTGAATTAAACTACTTTTAATTTTTGTTATGTTTTTCTTTACTGTAAACTGAAGATAAAACCAAACAATAATAATTTTTAAAATATACACATTCATTTATAACAAGGGTGTCAAACTGATTCCACTTTTCACTATGATGTGTGGGCTGGGCTACATGGCCTGAAGAATTCCCTTTGCTTTATGGAAATTGCCATAACTTTCAATTGCACAGCCAGCAGTGCTATGCAGAAAGGATCTCTGTTAACATCTCATCTAGATAAATGTTACGATTATGTTGGTAGATGTCACAGCCTGGCTTAGTGCATCCAAAATGCCATCTTTATAATAGTACCGACTTAAGAAAATATTTGACAGTCTTCTTTTAGTAAAGATTCTCTCTGCTAATGGACACACACAAAGCAAATGCTTAATATTTCCAATGATACAAAAGTGTACCTTTCTGTTGTGTTCTATGAAGGGAGATTATTTCAAATATATGTAACAGGCAAATGCTTAGAAAAGTATTCACTTTGAATGGTATTCCTATTTTCCTCATACAATTATAGAGCTGGCTGAAGCTCAATGAATTACTTTCTGGATATGAAAGTATGGTAGTGAAATATTCTTTATCATATGACATCAGAGATTGCCATTTAAAAGTCTTCCAAAAAGAATCAAAAGGGTCCTAGAGAGACACTAAAAATGTAACTTCTATTAGTTAGCCTAGAAGAAGGCAAAAGCCAGCATTAGTAATATCGACCTGCAAATACTTTTTATTAGGCCTTACTCCTTCAATCAGGCCTATTGTGTGAAAGTATTCTAGACACTTCTTCAACAGTTAGGCTTTTGGGGGGAAATGGGTAAACCTTTAACTTTGCCATGTAATGGATGAAGAAAGAGAGAAGCCCACAATGGTCAAACTGACACTACAGCAGAAAAGTGCATAATGTGCACAGCTTATAACCACTTGACCTTTTAAAACTTCTGTTTACCATACAAGTTTGAAAGAGGAATATAAAACCAACCATATTCAAATTAAGTCTGGAAAAAAGGATGCTGTAAGAGGAAGTATTAATCAAAAGACTGATGGAAATAGTGAGTACACAATATCAAGGATTGGTTTAGTTACAATTAGAATAGGAGACGTGAATGGTTTCTAACTATAAAAGGGCAAATCATGTATTCAAAAACCCCTACTCTCATAGATAACACACTTGTTAATTCTTTTCTATGTTTAAGGAAGTCCCCAGAGCTGATCTGTGTCTGTGTCATTCTGCAGTTGGGTATGGCCCTGCCTGTGTGTACTGGAGGAGGCTTAATAGCCTGGCTCAGCCAGACAGGTCAAAAGGGTGCCCAGGCTGGCAGAACAGGCAGGCTCAGTGGTATCTCAGCACATTGGGTGGCACCTTAAGGGGTCCAATATGTCACAGTGTGCAGCAACAGTTTTATGAGAATGCATAGTCTCCCATGGAGGGGACGCACAAACTCTTGTGACATACAATCACAGAAATGTAGGGCTGGAAGGGAGCTGGAGAGGGGGAGGGATAGCTCAGCGGTTTGAGCATTGGTCTGCTAAACCCCAGGTTGTGAGTTCAATCCTTGAGGGGGCCATTTGGGGATCTGGGGCAAAAATCTGTCTGGGGGTTGGTCCTGCTTTGAACAGGGGGTTGGACTAGATGACCTCCTGAGGTCCCTTCCAACCCTGACATTCTATGATCAAGTGCAGCCCCCTGTGCTGAGGCAGGACTAAGTGAACCTAGACTATCTCTGACAGGTGTCCTTTGGTCTGGGATGGGTGACAGGGAATTGATTGCTTGATGATTACCTGTTCCGTTCATTCCCTCCGGGGCACCTGGTATTGACCACTGTCAGCAGACAGAATACTGGGCTAGATGGACCATTGGTCTGACCCAGTATGGCCATTCTTATGTCTATCAAACCTTTTTTTTAAGAACCTCCAATGATGGAGATGCCACAACCTCTCTTGGAAGCTTATCCCAGAACTTAACTACCGTTATATTACAATTTTTTTCCTCAGAGCTAACCTAAATCTCCCTTGCAGAAGATTAAGCCCATTACTTCTTGTCCTACCTTGAGTGGACATGGAGAACAATTGATCACTATCCTTTTGATAACAGCCCATACCACATTTGAAGATTGCAATCAGGCCCCCTCAGTCTTCTTTGCTCAAAACTAAACATGCCCAGTTTTTTTAAACGTTTCCTCATAGGTCAGGTTTTCTAAATCTTTTATCAATTTTGTTGCTGTCTTCTGGACCCTCTCTAATTTATTTAAATCTTTCCTAAAGTGCAGTGCTCAGAATTGGTCACAGTACTCGAGCTGAAGCCTCACTAGTGCTGAGTAGAGGGAGACATCTCTGCTTTCAGGCATTCCATAAGGCCTTGCAGGGTTTTTTTAAAGCTAAATATAAAGATATATAAGTAATACTGCTGTCCTTGTGATGAAGTCAATGGGCCAAATCCTGCTCACTTTTTACTCAGGTATGAGCAAACCTAACTCCATTTGACCTAATTGAAGTTCTGGCTGTGCAGAGAATGCATTATTGGCCCCTAACGTAATTTCATCACATTCTGCTGTGTGTGCTCAGTGAGGTGAATTGCTCTTGTCAATTTCTTTTTGATGAAGTTTGTAGCTATCTATAAATCAAATAAACTTCTGGCACTATACCTTGCATGGAATATTAAAAGCAAAAGAGAGAAGCTTCATATTCTGGGTCCCCAAGCCTTTCTAGGTAATTCTAAACATCATCCTCACCAAGACTTTTCTGAAGAAAATCTATCAAAAAATAACTGCATACATATATGGTAAAGCCAATAAATTACCTGAAAGTGATTCTCCAGTATTGTTTTGACTATCACTCTCTTCTGGCTACAAACAAAAGTAACCTTGAATTAAAATCATGTATTCAAATAACACGTAATAACTTTATTGATCTAGTTTACCAAGTGGAGAGTCCGTTTAGAAAGATACTGATGTAACTGATTAATTGAGCAGAAAATACTTTTTGTGTGTGTCTGTGTTTCCTGACAATTTGCAAACTTTTTATGCATCATATTTACATTTTGACTCATCCTATGATCATAGAATCATAGAATATCAGGGTTGGAAGAGACCTCAAGAGGTCATCTAGTCCAACCCCCTGCTCAAAGCAGGACCAACCCCAACTAAATCATCCTAGCCAGGGCTTTGTCAAGCCGGGCCTTAAAAGCCTCTAAGGACGGAGATTCCACCACCTCCCTAGGTAACCCATCCCAGTGCTTCACCACCCTCCTAGTGAAACAGTGTTTCCTAATATCCAACCTACACCTCCCCCACTGCAACTTGAGACCACTGCTTCTTGTTCTGTCATCTGCCGCCACTGAGAACAGTCTGGATCCATCCTATTTGGAACCCCCCTTCAGGTAGCTGAAGGCTGCTATCAAATCCCTCCTCACTTTTCTCTTCTGCAGACTAAATAATCCCAGTTCCCTCAGGCTCTCAACGTAAGTCATGTGCCCCAGCCCTCTAATCATTTCCATTGCCCTCCGCTGGACTCTCTCCAATTTGTCCACATCCCTTCTGTAGTGGGGGGGACCAAAACTGGACACAATACTCCAGGTGTGTCCTCACCAGTGCCAAATAGAGGGGAATAATCACTTCCCTCGATCTGCTGGCAATGCTCCCACTAATATAGCCCAATATGCCGTTGGCCTTCTTGGCAACAAGGGCACACTGCTGACTCATATCCAGCTTCTCATCCACTGTAATCCCCAGGTCCTTTTCTGCAGAACTGCTGCTTAGTCAGTCGGTCCCCAGCCTGTAGTGGTGCATGGGATTCTTCCGTCCTAAGTGCAGGACTCTGCACTTGTCCTTGTTGAACCTCATTAGATTTCTTTTGGCCCAATCCTCCAATTTATCTAGGTCATTCTGGACCCTATCCCTACCCTCCAGCATGTCTACCTCTCCCCCCAGCTTAGTGTCATCTGCGAACTTGCTGAGGGTGCAATTCATCCCATCATCCAGACCATTAATAAAGATGTTGAACAAAACCAGCCCCAGGACCAACCCCTGGGGCACTCCGCTTGATACCGGCTGCCAACTAGACATCGGGCCATTGATCACTACCTGTTGAGCCTCACAATCTAGCCAGCTTTCTCTCCACCTTATAGTCCATTCATCCAATCCATATGTCTTTAACTTGCTGGCAAAAATACTGTGGGAGACCGTATCAAAAGCTTTGCTAAAGTCAAGATATATCACATCCACTGCTTTCCCTATATCCGCAGAGCCAACTATCTCATCATAGAAGGCAATCAGGTTGGTCAGGCATGACTTGCCCTTGTTGAATACATGTTGACTGTTCCTGATCACCTTCCTCGCCTACAAGTGCTTCAAAATGGATTCCTTGAGGACCTGCTCCATGATTTTGCTGGGGACTGTAGTTCCCCGGGTTCTCTTTCTTCCCTTTTTAAAATATGGGCACTATATTTGCCTTTTTCCAGTCGTCCGGGACCTCCCCCAATCGCCATGAATTTTCAAAGATAATGGCCAATGGCTCTGCAATCACATCAGCCAACTCCCTCAGCACCCTTGGATGCATTAGATGATATAGGGTTAGTGTTTTAAACAGTTCTTGCACTGACCTATCATTTTCACTCTTGGTAGTGACAGGTTTATACTAAACTATTTGTGAACAAGAACAGAAAAGAACTGTAACTATAAATCCCTGCTGATCGGCCTTGGGGTTGCTCCCACAGAAATTCATGACAGTAGTTGATAACCTGTTAAGTGAAGACATCTACAATCTTCAGGCTAATTTCACTTCTCAGTTACACCAGTACAAATTGGGAGTAACACCTTACTGTTACACTGGTGTAAGTGACCCCAGAATCGGACCTTTTGGTTATAGCCATGTTGAATATCAGAAAACTGTTGAACGACTCACTATCCTTATGATTATGCAGTACCACACTCCATCTTGTGTATTTGGAATAGTTCACACTCTCTCTCCCATGCTATCCTGGCTTCTTTAATTTTCCTTAATGACATTTTATTGATATTAGTTCATTAAAGTACTCAGTGTTTGAAAATGGTAGGTTGGGCAATGTACAACTGTTTCAAAGTGACTTCCTGGCATATAGGCATGAAATATTACTGCAGAATTGCAATTAAGAGTCACTATCGTGCCATAATCATGGGGGTGGGGGGAAGTCTTTAGGACTTTTGTATAGAGTACCTACAGTCTTTCAGTGATTTAGATTGTTTGACTTAGAAGATTTCCATGCCCCATTTTTTTTATTAGAGGCTGGGCCAGACCCTCAGCTGGCCCACTGTCTGTTACATGCAACAATAAGGGATTGTTCCACTGACTCTATGGAATTTAAAGGAGCTTCTTTAAAGGATTTTTATATATAGGAAATAGTTCTAGACAAGGGCTGGAATTGACTATTTCTGCTGGCTCAGTTCAAAACCTTTTTTCTTTTGAAGCTAATGTGCACTCAACTGCTTTTTGTCAGCTAATTAAATGTAGAGAAAATAATGTAATAGTTTGAGGTGACAACATGTGTTGTTGAAACATCTATATTCCTTGAAAGCAACATCTATCACCCAAAGGAAGGCACTATGACCCTGTGGCTAAGGCAAACTAAAATGAGTGAGGGAGTAAGAAGACATGGGTAGCTGCCCTCACTCATTGGGCGGGTGCGAGCCCAGATGAAATGTCTTTCCTTTATTGAAGATGAACGCAGAAAGGGTTTTCCCCCTTAGACAAGTGCAATAAAATACAGCTGACTTTTGTATAGTGTCATTCATTCAAAAGTATCAAAGAACACTTCACTGCATCTTGCAGGCTGTGTGTGCAAATACAAGTAAACTGTATAGGTTACAATACATCATAACAAGATGCCCTATTCCTACTGACACTTACTGTATTATTAAATCCACTACAAATAGTTGTGCTTGGAAGGATTAGATTATTATTTGTAAATGTCAATTTCACCATAGATACACAAACTGACAAATATATTTCCATTGATAAAAATCAAAATTTACAGATAGGTAAAGAAAAAAAATGCTGCTTGAGAACTTATTCCAGTTTCATTTAAGGATATTTATTTTTTATATTTTCACATGCGCTGTTGCCAATCTGGATTTTAATGGTTATAAAACTATAATTTTTTGAATCTCGCATCTATTGTCATTACATAATTTTTGTTTGACCCTCCCAATTGTCTGGCACACACCCCATCACTTCCCACAACTGTTAAAATATAAATCCATAAAAATTTAAAAATGCTTAAAATAATCATTGATATTGTACATCAAAATTAAAAAAAAATATATTTTTGCAAAGCATACAAGCAGTATAGGTAGTTTCAGCTGATGTGGTGAACACATTCACACACATGATCTAATCTAATTACGGGGGAAGGTAAATTTGTCTAAAATATTCTATCAAAAATTCCCCACATTTCCCACAAAAGGGAACATTTGCATGCTGTTTTCACTATCTCCCCTGCCACACCCACTGCTGCAGTGGGCCAGATGGTCACAAATGCAGAATAGTTTACAGATGTTTGCATTCTCTAATACACAATTTTCCACATCACAAAACTATCAGAGTGTTTGGTACTTGCTCAAGAAAGGTTCAACAATGGTGCACCTCCCATCAAAGTAAGAGGAAAGTACTTGCCATCTTCTCCAAGTACTTTCCTCCTCTTACCAGCATCATTTCAGTTGTAGCTAGATAGAATGTGAGCCCAGGGCTTTTCATTCAGCAGCTTCTAACTCAGGACTTTGAACAATGACTATCTAAAAACATTGGTCAGAACTGGATGTCTTGCTCTTGAACATGGAGATCATTTATGGTCATATTATGATATGAATCTGGTTCAGAAGTGTCTATGAGAAAGTCAATAGGTGTTTGATGTATAGGAATTGCAGTTTTGCCAACCCAAGCATTGAAAAATTGAGTCTGGCTAAAAATCTGGAGAGCATGTTAAAAATCATGAGATTTTTTTTTAAATATTTAATTTGGGTTCTTTTATTTGTCTTATGATTTCTGAGCCGTTAGAGTACACTCAAGTATGTTTTCATATTTTTTTCCTGCAAACATGAGGCCTCAAATCTATTTTTTTAAATGAGAGCTGAGATACTCATGTAAGTGCTTTCAGAAACTGGGGTTTTAACATCAAAAATCTCAAGACTCATGATCAAATCATGACAGTTGGCAATGGTAGGACTGCGACTGTATGGGCAAAGAAAGAAGTAAAGTTTTATTTCCCGTGGACTCAGAGTCCTGATTTTTTGTTTAATAAAAAAATATTTCCATGTAAACTATAGGATTTTAGCCGTTCAGCTACCTTCCACTTATCAACTCTGAAGCACAGAGGCTTATCCAACATCACTTTGTTGCAAAGATATGTAACTCTCCATAAAATATTGCTATTTAACAGGACTATTTTATTGCCCACTAATTAAAAAAACAACTGCAAATGTAAACAAAGCTATACATTTGTCTTATGCGTGTGCAGAGGGACCAGAAGAACAAGCATACCCTCCAGGCAAGATAGGGTTTTAGAGGGCCCTACAAATCTAAGTACAGTGAAACAGCTGTATAGTTAAGTGTTTTGTCACTATAAAAAGCCTTCATTATACCCAGTTTCAGTATAATAGAAGAGGGACTCTCAGACAACAAATTCTCTCCACTTCATGATAAGAAATTACTGCTTTCTCCCCATGAGATAGTGCCAATCTGTCTTCTCCTCCTTTGCTCAACCCAAAAGAGAAAATCCCCAGGAATTCAGCCTGTAACACTATCTGGTAAGTGATAACTGTGACATGCCAATGGAATTTGCACAGTGTTGCTCATTTACAGTGGAACATTAGAATGAAGCTTCACTGTGGGAAAAATACTATCCCAAAGTCCATGTATAAGGACTTGATGCAGGGGAGAAATAATTTCCCTGCTTCCCAACCCCAACTCCAAAGCTGCTCTGCAGTAACCACTGCCCTGGTTGCAAACCCCACCAAGGGGAGGTGAAGGCTGGAGGAAAAAATTATGGCTCTGTATAGCTGTGAATCCACTAGCCCTGTTTTTAATCTTATCCCCCATACCAGTGTGAAAGGAATTCTGGTAGAACTGGATTCTGCAGCATGCACCCTGCCTGGGCTCCAGGCTCCCTGCCCACTCAGCACAGTGGAACAACATCTGTTCTGCCGCAGGCTGAGTGCGGATGGCGTGTGGGGGCAGGATTTGCCCTTGTCAGAAGAGTTCATGCCTGGATACAAATTGAAGCAATTTTGGATTTCCACTGCACTATAAGTACAGTGTCACTAGAACTAGGTTCACTGTGAACAAAATTCAACCCTAAGCAGGGGAGTCAGCACAACACCTATGCACCACTCAAGTCCCACTTAAGCCCTTCAAATAGGGCTTACAGTGTGCATAGGCTGTGTGTACAGAGTACACTTCACCCAGCATTCTTAAATGGATATTCTGTGTCCAATCTCATTTTACTAAATGACTCCATGCGGTCTAGAGAAAGTTGTGATTAATATTAATAGCTTTCTTTCATCAACAAAAATAACTTTAACAGCTTAGTTTAATATGCACCCATGGGTTTCTCAAACAGATAATTTAAATTTGAAAAGCATTTCCCTTACCTGTTGTATTAGGCCAGAATCTGATGTAAGACTCCTGATGTTAATAGATGCTATTTCCAATGTAACTTTATCTGTTAGGTACTCCTCATCTAAGGCAAAGAGATTCTGAAATGTTGGTCTTTCACCCAAATATAAGCTTAAGTAACAAGACTCTCAAACAAAAATATGGCAGACTTCATACAAGTCTAACACACAAGATTTAATCCCATACGATAATGGGTCATTGGGAAATGTAAAATGGATTTAACATAATCTTAAATTGTTAATGACTGGACTGTGCAAATAGAAAGCACTATCAGAGATCAGACATCAGGGTATATGTAAAATGTTTACTCTGCATCTCCAACATGCTATTACTGATAGCAGGGCTACACTCTTCCTTCAGCAGATTGACCAGGAGCAGCACCAACATAGTGTTTACCTAGCCAATAAATCAAAGATAGCTGAAAAAGTGAAAGTACTTGACAGTCAACAAAACTTTTCTTTCTGCTTTGTTTTAATGACTTTCTAAAAATTCTCGATAGTCTGCCTTCTCTTCTCTCCATGTTTGGATTATGCTCATCCTGCTCAGGACCCTTCTGGAAGCACACGTACCCCGCCCCCCCAAGGTTTTACTCACTGCAACTTAAAAACTGTCTATACACCTTTGTGAGTATATAGACGTGGGTTGAAATTCACCCTTATGCAGAAGGACATGCAAAGGTAAATAGACAGCACAAAGTCTATTTACCTTTCATCTCCCATTTAGGCCCTCAAAATAGGACTTAAGTGATACATAAGCCTTTTGCCAGTTCCGCGCATAGGGTTGAATTTCACTCTGAGATAAGGCCCCTGTTCAGCAAAGTAGACCTCTACCCCGATATAACGCTGTCCTCGGGAGCCAAAAAATCTTACCGCGTTATAGGTGAAACCGCGTTATATCGAACTTGCTTTGATTCGCCGGAGTGTGCAGCCCCACCCCCCCGGAGCACTGCTTTACTGCGTTATATCCGAATTCGTGTTATATCAGGTCGCATTATATCGGGGTAGAGGTGTATTTCAACATGTGTTTAACTTTAAGCAAGTGTTTAAATCCATGTGTTAATTGCTCTGCTGACTCGGGATGAACTGCTGACTTGTGGCTGAAAGGAGGTTATCCTAGACATGTCAGAATCCTCCAAGACTCTTATAATGCTGAAAGGCTTTTTAGGGATAAAAATGCATATGAGTTTATTGTTCTCTCTAGCAATAAGACTCCTATTAAGAAACAGTGGAATGCCTTATATTTAAACAAAAAAAAGTAAGAATTTACTTTTCTTCTTTCACTTAGAATTTGCCATTATTTATTAGACCATTGATCCTTAAAATCCAATAGCCTGCCTCTGACAGCAGCTGATATCTGACAGACTCCTTATTTATTATCTTGAACAGGGTTCAAAAAAGAACTAGATAAGTTCATGGAGGATAGGTCCATCAATGGCTATTAGCCAGGATGGGCAGGGATGGTGTCCCTAGCCTCTGATTGGAAGAAGCTGGGAATGGGCAACAGGGGATGGATCACTTGATGATTACCTTTTCTGTTCATTCCCTCTGGGGCACCTGGCATTGGCCACTGTCGGAAGACAGGATACTGGGCTAGATGGACCTTTCGTCTGACCCAGTATGACCATTCTTACGTTAGGATTCAGTGGCAAAGAATTCAGCTGATATTACAAAATACAACCAACCAAATTTCACTTGGTCTATTCTTTTGGCTGTTGCCTCTAATATTTGGGTGAGGGAGTAACTATGATCAAAAAGTGAACTTGGAGGAAAAAAAATATACGGGCCTAATCCTGAAAGGTGATGAGTGCCCTCAACTCCCATTAAAGGTGCTCAACATCTTGCTGGATAAAGCCCTAAGATGTCATGTTAATTATTTTTAAACAAGGGGCCAGATCCCGTACTCTATTTAGATAAAATTTACATTAAAGCCAACTGGAATTTTCCCTAAATAACAACTAAAGAATCAGGCCATACACTGTATGAAGCAAACTCTTGTAACACATTTTATTCACTTATAGATTCAGCAACATTTATAAAACTGCTTTTTTTTTTTTTCTTTCTTCCCCATATCATGTTGAATAGTGATGAAAATTCAGGCTCTCGAGCAGACCAAGAGGCCAGTATCTAAGGAACGATCTAAGATTAACGTCATACAGTTTCCAAACCCACAACAGTGCTAGACTTTTGAGAAAATGAATTATAAGGAAAACTTGAGAATGCAGAAGTTAACAGAATATTAATAGGTGTTTCACATCACTTCCCATTCTCAGACAGGAAATGCTAAGCTCCATTAATGCTTTTATATCTTTACACTGATCATGATGAAATTTCCTTTCAACAGAAAATGCCACAATTTCCATTTCCCTTCAATTTTACTTATAATTTATTGTATTGAACATGTAGCATCAGATTTTAAACAGCTTTGAAACAGTTACATGTTTATTTATAAATTTGATTTTCTTTGGAGGGGAAGATACAATGAACTAATGCCATAAGAGTAAGAAAAATACAATTTAGATAGGAAAGCTATAGAGAAATTACCAAAATTTAAGAACATTTAAGAAAAACCACTTTGAAGAGGTGAGCAGTCTGCCTGCAACTGAACAGGTTCAAAGTACCATACCCTTCTCCCCTCCAATCTATTCCCCTTCTCTTGGTATCCTCAATGGCACCTCATTTCTATTGCTGGCTCCTTCCAGTCTCCTAAACAATCCTCCCTTGGAACTCCAGTTTTAGTTTACCCAGCTCATCAGTCTTTACCCTAACTTTTTCAACCTCTCTTCCCAATTGGATCCTGGATCCCTCCTCAGGCTTTACATGCATCATAGGATTCAGAACAATATGCTTGGAAGAGTAAACTGAGGCTCAAGGCACTCTCAGGGCATTCCTTGGAAGGAAGCCTGCAGCAGGGTCTGGGATGCAGAAATAAAGAAGAGGGAGAGGTCAAGGGAGCTAGTGTGGTAGAAGGATTAAAGGCTTAATGATGGAATTGGTTGCAGGGCTCAAGATTTCATCGGTGCAGGAGACCACTGGATATTTCTGGGCTCCCAAATGAATTTCTGATCACCTACAGACACACAGGTAACCCTCTCAAAGCCATTTTTCAAATATTTTTATTTCCCTCTAATCTGAGTTCTGAATCCTTTTTTCCCATCCCCCCTCTTTGTGGCATTGGCTTATCATAGCTTCCTTCAAAGTTGAGAAACAAGATCTTCTGTTGATATAATCGGCTTTTAGACCAAAGCTGAGCTCAGACGGCAAACACCAGAGGTAACATTAATAACAGACTTTTTAAAAAAATTTGTTACACTGCATAAACTTTTACAATGTAAAAATACAGAACAAATTAATAGAATATTTCTTATACCTATGGTTTTATTACATGTACTACAATAATGTACCAGATTTATAATAGCTGGAGTTTGCTGTGCTTACCTTTAGGTAGCCGTGTATCCTGGACAGGATACTTTTCTCTCTGTCCAAAAAGACCAAGACATATGTTTGTTATTTCTGGTACTTGATAAAAAGTACATTTGAAAACTTTATAGTTACCACTATGCCTTTTTAAAATGGCATTTAAGTTCACATCAATATACTAATGAATCATTCGAGATGGGCCAAACAGATACTAACACAGGTAGTTTGGGGATTATTTACAATCCAAAATTATATTGTTTGTTGTTTTGCTGCAGTTTCTTGAAATGCAATGTGGTTTAGTAAACTAAGCACGGGACTGGGAGCCAAGACATTCTGAGTTTTAATTTTAGCTCTCTGCCAGTGGCCTCAATTTCTCTGGGTCAGATTCTCAGCTTACTAATGTGTATCAAGAGTAACTACAATAATAAAGATGGTCCCGTTATTACAAGTATTCTTACTAAAGAACAATCAAAGGTCTCTTCGTTTGAAAATTAAAATTAAAACCTGATTAAAATCCAAAACTAAAATACAGCTACCCAGTTTACGGACATATCTGCTGATTTACAACACAAACATATTCCGACTTCTAGGCTATAGTTTACTCAGAGACCTAGTAAGAGACCTCCCATGTTACCTCTAGCAGCATCTAAAGACAAGAAGACGCTTCCATCAGCTTTTTATAGAATCTCTCACCAAACAAATTAAAATCCTCCTCATTTAGAAACAAAATCATTTTTTAAAAAATAACTTGCATTTGTATCAGACAGACATCATAACTCTACCATAGTTGAAGATCACAGTCTTTATTTTAAGCAATCACAAACCACAAAATGGCAGTAATGACCCCATTCCTACATGAAGGTCTGCTAGCATGGACCTGTGCAAAGTCCCATTTATTTCAGTGGGACTTCACACGTGCTCAGGGGTTGGCACTAATGGATCACGATACAGGATCAGGACCTAAATTACTAAATTGATTTTCCCAAAAAAGCCACAGGCTAAGGTCAATATTTACACTATCCTCTCTGTTTTCTGCTGATACTTCGATACTAGGCTTCTGATTTGGAAGAAGTCACCCCTGGAAAGTAATAGTTTCCCCTCTCATTATTCATGTTGTTGCATGACAAATCCACAATTTACAAATAAGATAAGATACTTTTAAAAACATCCATACTGCTACATTATACACTAATCTACTCTGGGCTGCATAATACAATATATATAATCAGTTTCTTTTTTTATTTACTGTTACCTAAAGTAAACAACCTGGAGCCAAATTCAAAAAGTCCTCTTTAAGATTACAGAGTATTTAAATATTCTTTTTACCCAACATATTCCGTGTGACAGCATAAGATTTGCTTCTCCGAATATCTCAGGACACACCAACAAGGAAAAGCATGCAGTGAAGGTTGTAAATCTACTAGTCAGTAAAACATCTCTTCACTCAGTTCACCCCCACATCTGGCAGAGCCTCATTGTTTGTCACATGCATTTCTAATGCCTTATTTAGCTATCAGCCACAACATTTAAAGGAAGCGCTTAGACTATATATAAACAATAATTAAGTTTCTGGGGAAGATCTCATACCACTTTCCAGGGAGATGCACAGTACTATTATTACTGTTTGTATTATAGCATCACCTGGAAACCCCAACAGACGTCATGAGTCCATTGTGCCAGGCACTGTATAAGCACATAGTGAGAGAAAGTCCTGTCCGAAAGAGATTACAATCTAAACATGGGTTTCACCATGATTATTTATTGATTTATTCAAGATACATTTGATGTAATGATTCATTTTTTTTATTTACAACTGGGTTGAGGCTATTTACATAACATTTCAGTGCGTACAATGGTGTTAATTACCTAGTAGACAATCGTATATGTGCCTGGTTTCAGTCAATCATACTCTTGGGTTTTTGAGAGCATCCCAGAATTAAATAACTGTACAAAGCTATAAACTAAATACTAGATAACCAAGTATTAAAGTTACATTGGAACAAAACTAGACACACCTACCATTTCTAATGGAAAAGTGCTTGGATCTGTATCTTCCACGGGCTCTCTTGCAGCATGATCTGCCAGAAACAAATAAGCTTTTTCATTTTATGTTCCTCAAACTGTGTCTGTTTGATCACTCATGCACTTTCCTTCACCAGCTCACCAAGATGAAACTGTACATCAATTACGTAGGAGTTCATTTGCAATGGGAACTCGTCATAAAGTATAAAGGGTTAGTCACAGGTGCTAGCTGACAGATGAGAAATTCTATTCAACAACGTCATCAGAAGTTATAGCTCAGGGGTTCTCAAACTGGGGGGTTGGGACCCCTCAGGGGGTCATGAGGTTATTACATGGGGGGTCGCGAGCTATCAGCCTCCACCCCAAACCCCGCTTTGCCTCCAGCATTTATAATGGTGTTAAATATATAAAAAAGTGTTTTTAATTTATTAGGGGGCATTGCACTCAGAGACTTGCTATGTGAAAGGGGTCACCAGTACCCAAAAGTTTGAGAACCACTGTTATAGCTGATAACAGGTAGGTGCAAATACATATTTTACAGTATTATTTTAAAAAATATCATAAATAGTTCAACAATAAATAATTAAACCAGAAAACAGCTAAAATGGATAAAACATTCCTTTCTCGGAATAGCTGTACTCAGTTGTGCATTAGCGGCCTTCTCCAAACAGTGAAATACCTTGTATAGGAAATTAATAATTAAGAGGACTAATATAGCATTATAGTAACAGAATATAGCTCAAAACTTAATGGGAAAGTAAACTTGGACTAAAGATGAACTATATTTAGTGCTTCTGTTTTTCGGAGTTTATTAATTTCATTGGAGGAGTATTTTTAGCAATTTTTGAATTTTATGTGGATGTTCAAAAATTGAGATTTTGGGGGGCTTTCTCTCTATAATGAGTACTGTATACTGTAGTATATACTCTAGTGAGTAATCTCTCTATGATGTTCCCTAGTGCACTTTAATGCAATATTGTTTCAATCAGTACTATGTTAAAGCGCACTAGGGAACCATTAGTGTACATCAGCAGGATCTATTCTACGCAGACCCACTGTGGTTCCTGGCCAATGGGAGCTGCGGGGGCATCGTGTAGAGCTTCCCTGATTGTCCCTCCGCCTAGGGGCCGCAGGGACATGCCGGCCGCTTCCAGAAGCTGGGCAGAGCCGGGCAGGGAGCCTACCTTAGCCCCGCTGCACCGCCGACCAGACTTTTAACAGCCCGGTCAGCAGTGCTGACCAGAGCCGCCAGGGTCCCTTTTCAACCACGTTCCAGTCAAAAACCGGATGCCTGGCAGCCCTATCTATACCGCATTTGGGAGCAAGCCTTCCAGCCCTCGTTTCCAGACTTGTGCTGGTGGGGCTTGTGCTAGCGTGCTAAAAATAGCTGTGTAGACATTGCTTTGATGTTGCAGCGTGGGCTCTCAGGCCCCCGCAAGCGTGAGAGCCTGAGCTCCAGCCAAGCTGCAATGTCTACACAACTATTTTTAGCACGCTAGCACAGGCTCCACCAACACGATTCTTTGAACCCTGGCTGGGAGGGTTGCTCCCAGATGCAGTGTAGACATACCCTTCAAGGCCCAGTTAGCCTGGGAAGTGAATGACAAAGCTCATAATATAAACTCCGAGTTCTGTAGTGGCAATGAGTTGGATGGCCCCTGACATGTCTCCCAGAATACCGGACATTCTGGTATTTCCAGGAATGGTGTTGGTGGATGCATGTCCCCTGGAATGGTGGTTGAAGCATGAACGGATGTATGAATCATTAGCACATCTGGCACATAAATATCTTGCAACGCCAGCTACAACAGTGCCATGCGAATGCCTGTTCTCACTTTCAGGTGACATTGTAAACAAGAAGCAGGAAGCATTATCTCCTGCAAATGTAAACAAACTTGTTTGTCTAAGTGATTGGCTGACCAAGAAGTAGGACTGAGTGGACATGTAGGCTCTAAAGTTTTACATTGTTTTATTTTTGAATGCAGTTTTTTTGTACATAATTCTACATTTGTAAGTTCAACTTCCACGATAAAGAGATTGCACTACAGTACTTGTATGAGGTGAATTGAAAAATACGTTTGTTTTTTACAGTGCAAATATTTGTAATAAAAATAAATATAAAGTGAGCACTGTACACTTTGTATTCTGTGTTGTAATTGAAATTAATATATTTGAAAATGTTGTAAACATCCAAAAATATTTAAAATAAATGGTATTCTATTGTGGTTTAACAGCGCGATTAATCACACGATTAATTTTTTTTAATTGCATGATTAATCACAATTAATTTTTTTAATCGCTTGATAGCCCTAGTTTTTAATTAAAAGTGACATTTCTGGGCCTACTTTTGGTGACATAAGCTTTAATAATGACTGCATTTGTGACACTGGCAATAAGGAATTCAAATCAATTCAATGTGACTTTGCTGGCACGACAAGGTGTACAAGTGTTGCCAAAGTGCAAGAAAATATCAGAGATGAAGTAGGCCTAAAAAAATTGGGGCCATGGAAAAGGGCCACTGGATATTCCCAATCCATAGTTAGTTTTTTGGAGGGTCTGATTTTTTAACAATGTGCACTTGGAAAAGTAAGTGCACTTCTAAGTACCAAGCAGAGTTGTTAAGTAGATGCTACCATAACTGGCCTAACCAAAAAGGTGACAGGCTGCCTTGCATCTTTAAGAGCAGTAGAGAGCCAGGGCCAGCCAACCCCGTTCCAAGGAATGGCCCCTTGAAGTTACTTATGCATCAGAGGGCTCATACTGGCCTTACTTAAGAGACGCTTTTTTTTTTATTCGTAATGAAGTCCTTCTTGGTTCACAAATCCTCTCATTTATCCATATTCTTCCTCCTCCTATGTAAAAGCATTATATACTTGCAATGCTGCCAGGCCTGCCACTTGGAGAAATATCATTGCCTGCACTTCAGAAGACAGATTCTCCGCTGGTGTAAATCAACATAGCTCCCTGTCCCTAAGTTAAGTGTACTCTCCTTGCCACTCAGAGAAATGACAAACTCCTTGCTTAAACAGCGAATTCAGTGGAGTTGAAGGAAGTAATGTTTCTGGGTTGATGTAATTTCTAATACCATGGAAGATTTAGCAAGCATCCAGGTTCGTTAAGCAAGAAGGCAATGCTCTTCTGTTAAATGCACAAGCACTCATTTTGCATCGAGCCTGCTCAGGCTTCTGCAACTAGCTGGGCAAGGTCAGTCATAGCTCAGATATTAGCATTGTCATCGCCATTATTATTAATTATTTACAATACAATAACATCTAAAGACCCCAATGGCGATGGAGATCTCATTGTGTTAAATGCTGCACATACATAGTAAAAAGCAGTCCCTGTCCGGAACAGTTTACAACCTATAGAGATGCTACTATCAGTTATTTTCACAGCCAGATGTACTCTAGTAATATGATGTATTATGATGTAAGATCTTGCAAATTATGTAAGAAGTTTATTTCTCTATTTATTTAGAATTAGATTTATTTAGATTTTTCTTCTGATTAGCTCTTTCCAGTGACAGTTGTAAGGCACCTCAGCATTCTGAAGTGTGTTTACAGCTGCAAAGGATAATTGGTTACGCTGACATATTTTTTGACACATTTTTATCAGAGTTTAGAGTGTGTCATTTTATTTGAGTACCTTTTGCTGCCTTTAACATTATTTAGCTTTCAGAAAACCTCCTGTTTTAGCTATTGGGATTTCCGGAGTGCCAATTTTGTTTCAGATGTGTGGAATCCCATCCATTGATCCCTCTCCCCAGATCTGCTTTTGGCACTGGCAAGAAAAGCCTGGGATGAAATGACAAGAGCTGTGTGATAGTATCATTTTAAACAAATTTTTGAGAAGAATTCCCAAATGTAGCAAAGAGCGATACTTCTCTATTTCCACCAATGAACAAGTACTCTTGGTGAAAAGTAGCAGAGTTATATAATGGAAATAACATTTTTTCCACTTGCAAAAATTCTCTGTTGTGAAAAACACCAAATTATTTAAGAAGCCCCAGAAAAGCATTTAATGCTTTATCCCATGGGTTAGGGATAACTTGTCTGTATGACAAGTTTTAGTTTTCGGCCCTTTTAAAATATGTATATCTTAGACACTGAAAAGGGCCACTCCTGTTGATTCTCCTAGGTCATTTCTCTTCAGGACTATCAGCAACCAAAGATCAATATGACTACTTAATACAAATTTTTCTCGGACTCAAATAAATATGATCATACAAGAAAGAAAACAAATGGATTTTTATTATTCTCACTCCCTGTACTTCTTTGGACCACTATTGGCCAGAGGAAGATAGGTAGCTTCAAGGCTGAGGGCTTGTCTAATTTAAGAAAATTTGCACCACTGTAATCACATATATGTAGTTCCCTTCTTGTAATGTACCTCAAATGTAGACACTCTACACCAGCAGGTAGTGAAGCTTACACCATCTTAGCATAATTACCAAATTAAACTACACTGGTGTAAGCCCCCCTTTGTTTCAGTGTAACTACATCAATGTAATTAGACTAGTACAAATATTCTTAATGTCAACAAGCCCGGAGACATATTGCCCCAATAAACAATGAGGCTCTGATTAGGCAAATGGGGTCCAGAAATACCATTATAAACATGGAGCATTATATACAATTATACTGCAATGCATTACATTCTGCCTTTCGGTGAATCTGTTTACTTTTGGTGCTACATCTCTGTTTGTTACAAACGGTGTAAACTCTGCCACTGACTGGACAGAAGTTATTTAAGCTGAAATATTAAAAATCAGGTTTCTAATGGTATGCACTCAAATTCATATTTAAGTGCCAGTGGTCATTCAGTTTGAAGGTGTTGGCCTTAATCACTTCCTCAAGCCTTGGTTTGACTAGGATAAAAAAAAGTGTTTGTGAGGGAGGAGGTTAGATTGTATTAGCTAGCACAAACTAATATGTGTTCTAAACTCTAGTGTAGACAAGGCATGTTGTATTTCAGCATGTGCTAAATTCCACCAGCACAGAACAGGTTTAAATTTTATTAGAGAATATTTAAAAATAAATGGTACAAAAGATTTGAAGAGTCAGTTGTCGGTCATTGGGGGAACATACAGAGTATGGGGAGGATGTTGTTATGTCAGGGTTGGCAGCACACATAATACATACAGACTGTAGTGTCTCCAATGGGGGGGTGGGCGGTGGGCGAGATCAAGACACAGTTGGTAAGCGGTGTGGGTCAATCATCCACATAGGGGGTACAAATAGTCATGTTAGCTAACACAATTGGGTGTGGGGGGGACTCAAAGTCCTTCTTGTCTAGACAAGGCAAGGAGTCCTTAGTTAACTCCTATAAAACTGGTACAATGGGTTAAAAAATGCTAATACAACGAGATCCAGAATCCGCAAAACCTCCCTGGGGCAGGCAACTTTTTGGATCTCGTTGTAATAGACAGCTTGTGTTGTACCTTAGGGGTGCTGCCAGGTTTAATGTATTCATACCTGAGCTAATGAATCATAAAACACTTTGAGATCCTCAGCGGTGAGGGGCTATGCAAATGCAAAGAATCATTTTTAATATTCGTCCCAAACTCTCCTTCATACACAATGTGGGGAGAGGAGGAGGGCTTGGCGGCCTCCTCAAAAGCAGAGCGGCTTGCTGGGCTTACTTGTGCTAGCTTGAAAGTTTTAATAGGCAAAGTTTCCTGCGGGAGAAAATCTGGCAGCTCTGATCCCATCCCCAACGTGGCTAGGCTAAGAAGGGAGGGGAAAGCCCCTTGTACTGATCAGCTGTGCGCAGAGAACACAGCTCAGCACGCGAAACCCACACAGGGCTAGACACAGCGGAAGCCGCTGTGGGCGCTCTCCACTAAAGTGCAGGCACAGCAGGGAAGGAAAAGCCGCCCCGGCCCGAGCAGAGTAAGGGAGGGTCAAGGTCCATGCTGTCAAGTATCAGGGGGTAGCCCTGTTAGTCTGTAGCCACAAAAACAACAAGGAGTCCGGTGGCACTTTAAAGACTAACTGATTTATTTGGGCATAAGCTTTGGTGGGTAAAAAACCCACTTCTTCCTTGTTGTTAATGTCCATCTTCGGCGCTCCCGCTGCAGCTCCCAATGGACACTCCCTCCTCCAGCCCTGCCCCAGAGACCTGCCTCTAGAGCTGTCCTGGCCGCGCGCCGCACACGCTCCCACCCTGTCCCCCAGCCAGACTCCAGCGGGGCGCGCGCGCACCCTCCCTCCTGGGGGGAGTGGGGACTTTACCTTCAGGCAGAGGGTCCTGGAGAGAAGCCATCGGGTGGGTGCGGGGGGAGACTGGCAGCCGTGCCAAACGGAGGGTGAGGATTCGTGCCTGTGCGTGACTGGAAAAGCCTCTCCAGCGCGGCCGGGTAACCCCCCACGCTAAGGAGTGGGCGCTACTGCCTCCCTCTCTGCTTTGCTTTCTTCTCCACTTCCTGGTTGGGTATTGAACGAAGGAGGTGAAGCTTCTTTCTGGGGAGCGGAAGCTGCAGGTAGAGCTCAGGCTGAAAGTGGGCAGAGGTGTGTCTGTGCCTGTCACCTGTAGGGGCTTGTCCCCGGCCACCACCTCTCATTCAGCGTTCATTAAAACCATGTGTTTTTATTTGATTTTCAAAATGTATGTATTTGCTCTACCTCTATAGTATTCGTTCTCCCCTGTATAGAGTTGATTTTTATTTACATATATTCATATGAAAATTATATTCAGGAAAAGAGAGTGTGTGTGTGTGTGTGTGTGTGTGTGTGTGTGTGTGTGTGTGTGTAAAAAATGATTCTCTTGTGTAGGAGAGTATGTATATTATAGAAATGTACATGTGTGTGTGTATATAAAATACATGTACGTGTTTAATATTCCTAGAAATAAATTCTTCTCAATTATGCTAAGATAATGAATAAAATCAATGCATTTTACTTTAAAAAAAATACATAATGTATATGAATTAAAATTAAATATGATATATATTTCAGCACACCAAGCAATATAATATTGCAGTTAGGAACTGTAATTAATTTATTACATCACACTCTACAATCCAAGCATATTCCCTGATCCTGCAAATACTTACGGATGTAAATAACTTTACCTGTATGCCTAAAGTTAAGGCCCTGATCATACCTTGTGATCCCTGAGGATTGACTGCTATGCCTTTGTGGATCACAAGGCAGGGTCAGGGCTTGATTTCATGTATGTTTTCAGGATCTGGTCCATCAGACTAATTTTTAAACGATTTTTAAAAAAGGCTCTCTTCTTATCACTGAGGATTTTACTGTATCTTTTTTATTTTTGTTTTAGAAGTCTCCGTAATTTACACTCACACAGCCTGTGTTAAGCTCTCTCATTTGGTAGAGATTTTTTAAAAAAACCTCATGTATTGGGTTTAATATATTTAAAGGTAATATAGAGTTCTTCAGATAGGTCAATAAATGGGATAATGTTCTTAATAAAGAATCTCATATGTTGTTATATTATATATACATACATACATACATACATACATACAAGTAGCTGAGGCTACGTCCTCACTACGGGGGGCGGGTGTCGATTTAAGATATGCAAATTCAGCTACGGGAATAGCGTAGCTGAATTGGACGTATCGGAGCTGACTTACCCCGCTGTGAGGACGGCGGCAAATCGACCTCCGCGGCTCCCCCGTCGACGGCGCTTACTCCTACCTCCGCTGGTGGAGTACAAGTGTCGATTCGGGGATCGATTGTCGCGTCCCGACGAGACGTGATAATTCGATCCCCGAGAGATCGATTTCTACCCACCGATTCAGGCGGGTAGTGTAGACCTGCCCTCAGATATTTCAGTTATATGTTAACATAGTCTTACATCAGTTGCTTTTGTACAATCAACATTTGTATTTATTTTATTAATTAATCTATTTTAGGGCCAAATTCTACTCTGTTACACCAAAATAAATCCACTAATTAATGGCTTTTCACAGGTGTAACTAAAGGTAGAATTTGGCTGTTAATATATAGCAATACAAGAAATTGCATAGTTTTGTTTAATTGATTTTTCCATATTCCATGCATGATAAAAATCTAAAGAAAACAATACTAAATTGTCCTAATTTGCATGTTAGTTTCAAATACAACACTTGAATCTATTTTTCATATTTTCAATAACACTTAAAATTTCTTAGCAATTTTTCAGTGTCTCAGTTTTATGGATCTGTGAATTCTAATAAAAGAAACAGTTGCAGAGAAATTTCCTTCTGTGTTGTACTGTAAATCAATCCATCCTACCAGGTCCTTTATTTGAAAAGACCAAGATTCCAACCCTGCTTCTACTGAAATAAATGAAAGTTATGCCATTGAGTTAAATGGATACAGCTTTGGCACCAAGAGTGTTCAAAAAAATCACTATCATTGGCATCACTTATGTATTTCTTGGTGATTAACAAGCAACCAAAAAGTGTTTGCTTGAGCCATGTAATTTGAGTCTCTTCAGATTCCTCATACTACTGGTTGGCTTTGATGGTTCCCATGTAATTTAACTATTGACAAGTACTCCCAGAAAATGGTGGATTTCCCTTATTTAATAACCAGAGCTTAGTCAGCAATAAAATTGCTGACTTTGCATCCTCATCCGGGAAGAATTTCTTTTGAAGCACAAACTTTTTTCTGACCTAGTAATCAAGCTAAGGATCTGGAAAGAAAAGAAAACTTGTTTCTTCAACACAGATCTGCACCAGTGCTAGATCAACGGTGGGAATCTCCCCTACAATTGTCAGTGGTAGACAAGGATATACTGTAGCTAAGAATTTTCTGGATTCTAGGCTTGCTAAGCTTATGTCACAGCAAAGGAATGCCATGTCGTGGATGAAGACATGGTTGCGTAGTGTTGTTGTGCACTGTTCAAAGGCTGCCAATTCTACCCCAGAGGTAGCTGCAGTTAAAAAAACAAATATGCCTACACTGGATATATATTAAATATTTGTATATATATAAAAATGTGTACCTTGGTTCCTTCAATATGTAAAAGATGACATACTAATTGTAATATACCATTGTGATGATTGTCCATTTAGAAAATACAATCAACCGAATTCTCAATTACTGAGGGACAATCTCCACTCATTGATATACTTTGCTTTCCACAATCAAATCTCTGTACAATTTGCTAAATCTATTCACCTAAATTTGGGTTATTGCTGATTATGTACTCTATGTATCATATGACTTTTAAAAACAAACTTTATATTTGTGGATAATCTAAGCACTATACCCAGATGTACAGACACTCTTTTCCCAATCTATGTATTATATAATTTTTTTTAACATTAGATTTAATAAAATTTTTATACCATTGTGACGATGCTGTAAAGTACAGAAATTACCATTTTTACTGGGTGCTGCCCCAGGGTTGAGGCTTAGTGCTATTTACTATCTCACACTTCACCTCCTAAAATCTTCCATAGTTTGGAAGTGAAATAAAACTGGCTAGCCCTCAAAAGTGGTTAACACTATTAATAACATACTAATAAGGCTGTTTCTGCAAGTCACTTCAGTTTCTCAAAGTTGAATTTCAAGTGGAAGAATTCTTAAATTTGACAATGAACTCTTGATCACTTTATTTAAAAATTAATTGAACACTTTTTAAACTAAAGTACTGTAGTCACAGAAAAAGGTCAATATTCTGGTCATCAAGCCCATCTCAACATTTAGGTTAGCAGGAACAAAATAGGTACTTGTTCCCTGGACCTAAATAAAGGATTCAGCAATGTGATATAGTAATCTGGTACACACTATTAGCTGTGTAAATCAATTTAGTGGTTAACTTTCCATTCTTTTATCTTAATTTAATGATAGAAATATAAATCACCAGTTGTTATTTTATTAACTGACAAGTCAGAACCATCAATGATTGTGGCAAGACTATAAATTTGATTGTATGGTAACAAGTAAACACCAGAAATTAGATTGCATTAAAACAATTAAACTTTCTTAAACAATGCAGTCATTTCTCTAATCAGGACAATATACTTGAGTACAATTTACATCCGCTGTAGGCCTGATCCTGAAAGATGCTGAACTCAATGAAACTGATCTGTACCTTGCAAGTATTCTGGACTTTATAGAATCAGGCCCCAAAGTAGCTACAACCATTTCAAAAAGTAAATGGTCAAAAATAATCCTTCAGCACAGAGGGTGAGTTTGTAAACAGCTGTAAATAATCTGATAAATCACACAGAGTTCCGATCTAACAATACCCCTTGTTTAAGAAGGAGTTGTCCGTCTTCTGAATAAAGGCTGCCAATGTCATCCTTTTTTATCCCACATACAGTATGTTCTTGTTCAACAAAGTGCTATTCTAGCCCTCTCATGAATGACTATAAGCTTCACCTCATACTTGTCACCCAAGACCTCCTGCCAAGGAAATAAGCAACAGCTCCCCACTACCAGAGCATAAACCTCATCCCCATTGTAATTTATTCAGTGAAACATGTTATTTCCCTCCTTGGGACTGATTTATGCTACTAACCCCTGCTGGCAAGATTAAGCTAGTCTTTCAGAAATCAGTTTTATAAATAATAGTTCATTGTTCTAGTTGCTACCCATATTCCAACTATCCTTATTTAGGAAGGTTATTCCTTGTTTTACAAAATATTTACTATTTCTCCACTCTTTCCCCTAAACTCTAAGTTTAATGTATTTCAACAGAGTTAAAAGTTATGTTCCTGTTTTTTCTCCCAAGTGTCCCTCTATAGCTTTCAAATGTTGGCAGTTTCTGTATGTTTTTAGACCTGTTCCCTGAAAATATACAAAACGTTTGAGTTTTGGAAAGGTTTCAATTTTTTCACTGAGTGTTCGCATGTCTACAGTATATTATTATAGGATTGCTAGGAATGCTATGACATAAAAATTTATTTTTAGAAAATGGAGACAAATACTAGCAGTTACATGTAGTTAGATCATTTTAGGTAGATCTCAGAATAGATCTCCCATTTTCTGCATGGGCTAGGAGTGTCACCTATATGGTACTGTCCCAGTCCCTTTTCCTATGTGGATGTCCCTCCATAGGCAGGGTGCCAGAGAGTTGAACAAGGGAAGTGCTGTTCTCTGCCCCTAGATTTCCACTCAGAAATCAGGTTGGGAGGTAATACATTGTGGTGCTATTGCCTTCTTCTAGGTCCTTCCATGGCTGCTATTGAGCAAATACAGGAGTACCCAGCCAAGCACCAGCCATCTGTACAGGATAGCTTCTGTCTTTTAGGGAAAGGGGTTTTTAATTACCTGAGGTTCTCTAAGCTCATCAGGGCTGGAATGAGGTGAGATCTCCAAAATTAAAGCCTCTTTCCTAATATGCATATTTCTTC